GCAGCAAAATCATACCAAAGAATCCCACCACAGTAGCCACAGTAGCATTTAACTTCAAAAAGGGGAACTACACAAAAATGAAGAGGCTAGTTAAATGGAAATTAAAAGGAAGAGTCACAAGAGTGAAATGCCTGCAAGCTGCATGGAAACTTTTTTAAAACACCATAATAGAGGCTCAGACTATAGGTATACTCCACATTTTTTTTAAAGTAATAGGATCAAAAAATGCCACTACAGCTAAACAGAGTAAAAGAGGCAGTTAGAGACAAAAAGACATCTTTTAAAAATTGAAAGTCCAATACTGCTGAGGAAAATAGAAAGGAACAAACTCTGGCAAATCAAGTGTAAAAGTATAATTAGGCAGGCCAAAAAAGCATTTGAAGTCAACTAATAAAAGACACAAAAACTAACAGCAAATTTATTTTAAGTACATCAGAAGCAGAGAGCCTGACAATCACTGGGGCCACTGTACAATCGAGGTGCTAAAGGAGCACTCAAGGAAGACAAGGCCATTGCAGAGAAGCTACATGAATTCTTTGCATCAGTCTTAATTGCAGAGGATATGAGGGAGATTTCTACACCTGAGCTATTCTTTTTAGGTGACAAATTTGAGGGATTTTCCCAGATTGAGGTGTTAATACAAGAGGCTTTGGAACAAATTGATAAATTAAACAGTAATACATCACCGGGACCAGATGGTATCCACCCAACAATTCTGAAAGAGCTCAGATATGAAATTTCAGAATTACTAACTGTGGTATGCAATGTATCACTTAAATCAACCTCTGTCCCAGTTGACTGGCAGATAGCTAATGTAAAGCTAACTTTTTAAAAAGGCTCCAGAGGCAATTCAGACAATTACAGGCCAGTAAGGCTAACTTTAGTACCAGGCAAATGGGTTGAAACTATCATAAAGAACAGAATTATCAGACACAGATGAACATGATATGTTGGAGAAGAGTCAACATGGCTTTTGTAAAGGGAAATCATGCCCTGCCAATCCTAATTCTTTGAGGGTGCCAAACAAACATATGGACAAAGTTGATCCAGTGGATGTAGTGTATTTGGACTTTCAAAAAGCCTTTGACAAGGTCCTTCACCAAAGGCTCTTAAGCAAAGTAGGCAGTCATGGGACAAGAGGGAAGATCCTCTCATGGATCAGTAACTGGTTAAAAGATAGGAAACAAAGGATAGGCATAAATGGTCTGTTTTCACAGTGGAAAGAGGTAAATAGCAGTGTCACCTAAGGATCTTTACTGGGACCAGTGCTGTGCAATATGCTCATAAATGATCTAGAGAAAGGGGTAAACGGACAGGTAGCAAAGTTTTCAGATGACACAAAATTGCTCCAGATAGTTAAGACCAAACCTGCCTGCCAAGAGTTACAAAGGGATCTCACTAAACTGGTTGAAAGGTGGATGAAATTCAACGTTGATAAATGCAAAATAATGCACGCTGGAAAATATAATCCCAATTATACATATAAAATGATGGAGTATAAATTAACTATTACCACTCAAGAAAGAGATCTTGAAGTCATTGTGAATATTTCTCTGAAAACATCTGCTCAATGTGCAAGCAGCAGTCAAAATAGCAACAACGTTAGGAACCATTAGGAAAGGGATAGATAACAAGACAGAAAATATCATAATGCCACAACTACATAAATCTATGTATGCAGTTCTGGTTGCCCCGTCTCAAAAAAGATACAATCATAGAAGTGTAGGACTGGAAGGGACCTCGAGGCAAGACTAAGTATTATCTAGACTATCCCTGACAGGTATTTGTCTAACCTGCTCTTAAAAAGCTCCAATAATGGAGACTCTACAGCCTCCCTAGGCAATTTATTCCAGTGCTTAACCACTCTGACAGTTAGGAAGTTTTTTCTAATGTCCAACCTAAACCTCCCTTACTGCCATTTAACCCCACTGTTTCTTGTCCTACCCTCAGAGGTTAATGAGAACAATTTTTTTCTCTCCTCCTTATAACAACCTATTATGTATTTGAAAACTGTTATGTCCCCTCTCAGTCGTCTCTTTTCCAGGCTAAACAAACCCAGTTTTTCCAATCTTCCCTCATAGGTCATGTTTTCTAGATATTTAATCATTTTTGTTGCTCTTCTCTGGACTTTCTCCAACTTGTCCACATCTTTCCTGAAATGTGGTCCCCAGAACTGGAAACAATACTCCAGTTGAGGCCTAATCAGCATGGAGTAGAGTGGAAGAATTACTTCTCATGTCTTACTTACAACTCACCTGCTAATACATCCCAGATTGATGTTTGCTTTTTTTGCAACAGTGTTACACTTTTGACTCATATTTAGCTTATGGTCCACTATGACCCCAGACCCTTTTCCACAGTACTCTTTCCTCGGCAGTCATTTCCCATTTTGTATGTGTGCAACTGATTGTTCCTTCCTAAGTGGAGTACTTTGCGTTTGTCCTTATGAATTTCATCATATTTACTTCAGACCATTTCTCCAGTTTGTCCAGATCATTTTGAATTTTAATTCAATTTGTCCCCCAAAGCACTTGCAACCCCTCCCAGGCTGTTATCATATGCAAACTTTATAAGTGTAGTCTCTATGCCATTATCTAAATCACTGATGAAGATATTGAACAGAACCACCCCTACGACCAATCCCTGCAGGACCCCACTCTCTCTGCCCTTCCAGCTTGACTGTGAACCACTGATAACTACTCTAGGGGAATGGTTTTCCAACCAGTTATGCACCCACCTTATAGTAGCTCCATCTAGGTTGTATTTCCCTAGTTTGTTTATAAGAAGGTCATGCGAGACAGTATCAAAAGCCTTACTTAAATCAAGATATCACATCTACAAGATATACCACATCTCCCTTCCTCCCTCCCCCACCCCCGCGAGGCTTGTTACCCTTTCAAAGAAAGCTATTAGGTTGGTTCTACTATATTAGATATATTAGAATTGGAAAAAGTACAGAGAAGGGCAACAAAAATGGCAAGGGGTATGGAACAGATTTCATATGAGAAAAGATTACAAAGACTGGGACTGTTCAGCTTAGAAAAGAGATCACTGGGGTGGAGGGGGAGAATATGATAGAGGTATATAAAATCATGGAGAAAGTGAATAGAGAAGTGTTATTTACTCCTTCACATAAAACACAAACCAGGGGTCACCCTATGAAATTAGTAAGCAGCAGGTTTAAAATAAGCATATAAGGAAAGACTTCTCCACACAATGCAGAGTTAACCTATGGAACACATTGCCAGGGGATGTTGTGAAGGCCAAAAGTATAACTTGATTCAAAAAACAATTAGATACGTTCATGGAGAATAGGTCCATCAATGGCTATAGCCAGGATGGTCAGGACACAACCCCATGCGCTGGGTGTCCCTAAATCTCTTATGCCAGAAGCTAGGACTGGACAGGGCTCACTCAATAATTACCCTGTTCTGTTCATTCCTACTGAAGCATCTGACCCTGGTCACTGTGGGAAAACAGGATACTGGGCTAGATGGCCCATTGGTTTGACCCCATATGGCCACTCCTATGTTCTTATGTTCATATTTCTCACTATATAGTTGCTACATTAATTATCAAACATATTGGTAGGGTGACCAGACAGCAAATGTGAAAAATCGGGACGGGGGTGGGGGTAATAGGAGCCTATGTAAGAAAAAGACCCAAAAATCGGGACTGTCCCTATAAAATCGGGACATCTGGTCACCCTACATATTGGGGACAGAAAGAGTTCAAAAAATCAGAAAACAGCTCACAAAACATTATTTAATCTTTTTTGTTTGTTTGTTTAAAAAAAATCTCATGCTTTTAGGAACCAACTGATGATTTTCAAACTTTTGCAATTGGCAATACTGGGATTATAGTCAATCACAGCCAAATCAGAGGCCAGATATCAGAGTGATGGGTACAGTATAAAAGCCCAAATTAGCCAGAAGAAGAGAAACTGTTTTCAATGACCACATCACCAAACCTGACACAAGTTTATCAGAATGACCATGAAATCACTGCAGGTCACAAGTGAGAAGCAAAGACTAAGACCGAATGGTGCAGGGAAGCTTACATACCACTGACGAGAGATGAGCACTGTGGGGGGAGCGCCCTCAATATTTAAGAAATTCGCCAAATGAAGAAACAGTGATGTGAAGAATGAAAAGGAATTAGTGGAAATAAGGTGTTTCCTCCACTGGCAAGCCAGTGAGGGGGAAATCACGGCCCCATCTGCTTTCCTCCTTAACCCCTTTCAGATAAGTCATTTCTAGAGGGTAGCAACATAGAAGCAGTCCTGATGCACCTCAAGCGCTGGGGTGCAATTCTGACTGGATTTATTGAGGGGACTGGGGTTCCTCCTTCCCTCCCTGCTCACTACACAGTAACTAAGGGAGCCACAAACTGGCCTGCTGCAAGGGCAGTTTTGAAAGTGTCTCTCTATTCCCTGCTGTGACAATGTTGTCCAATGGCATCCTGTTGCTGCTACTTTGTGGCCTCCTAATGGAACGTGGATATGGGGTCTATGTAGACACGAGCACAAGTATGAATAACTAAAGGGAAATGTATCAAATTCTAATTTCCCTCCTCACTTTTCTGAGTGGCACAGTGTCCCAATTGCAGCTGGGTGAATAATAGATTTTTTGATTCAGCAACTGAACCGACAGAATTGGGGGGGGGGGGGAGGGGAATTGTTTCAGGTCAGCCTTCAATGACAGATTTTCAGTTTTTCTTGCTGAAATGAAAAACCAAAGAACATTTAGTGTCTGGATAAACTAAATAATCAGTTTGATACCAAACTAAAGTTTAGTTTAATTTTGGGGTGTCGTTTTTAATCCTTTTTTGTGGCATTTTTGTTCTGTTTTGTTAAATACAGCAAAATTTTTAAACTAAACCTTTGGAAATGAAAAGTTAAAACATTTTGTTTAAAAAATTGTAACCCCTTTGGGGTTTAGAGAGCATGGCCCTTTAAATCTTTTTCCTAAGGGGGAGGGTGAGAGTAAGAAAAAAGGAGGGAAACTCCAGGGGGCAGCGCTGGAGCTCCAAGGAGAGGGAGAGGCAGCCTGCAGGCCCTGGAAAAGTGAAGCAGAGAACCTGCCCGAGGCCTGGGACGGACAGGGCCGATTGGGGACAGGACAGGAGCCAGGAGGAGCACTGTGCCAGGGAGGAATTGCCGAGAAGGACAGGCCGGAGCTGGACGCAGTATCACTGCTGCCCAGAGCTGCATGGGGCTGTGAGTACTGGGGCTTGTGACTCTGCATTAGGAACAAGGAGGGAGGTTGCTAGATAGTTAAGTGGGGAGGTGGTCGCTCTGTGTGGCTTTGCAGAGAGTGGCAGAAGAGGGCACCGGAGGGGTTTGTTGGGGGAAAGTTCACTGTTGCCGAAGATGACCAGGAGCACCCAAGACTCACCACTGGACTGGAACTTTGCTCAGGACTCCTGAACTCTGCGTGCAGACACATTGCTCAGTGTCTGCCCTTCCAGACTGTGCTACCACTGGGCCCGTGGGGCCTTCGCTTGGATGCAGCCCTGTCTTACTGCTCCCCCTATATTTCCCCTTGTTGTTTTTCTCCTCTCATCCCTCTGTAAATAAATATTTCCCTCGTTATATCCACTGTACTTTTCCTGTGGGTGGGTGTGTTCACTCTGGGTGGTTTGGAACCTGGGGTGGAAGGGATTTCTCCTGCTGCATTCCTGCGCGCGCCCTCTCTTGCCCAGAGCTGCCTGCAGAGCAGACTCCATCTTGGCCACGGGGGCGCTAAAGTTACAAAATGTTGACCCAAAATTTTTCAAATTGTTGGGAATTTTTTCTCTATTCTTTTTTCGGCTGTAACTATTCAGACATCAACCTGAATTCACTAACAGTTTAAGATGACCCAAAACTTATTTTCCGGCAAATAAACTATTCACCAAAAACATTTTGCCTATCTATAATCCCAATGCCAGAAAATCACTAAGAATAATCTTCCGGGGAAGCAGCTGTCCTAAAGCTTCACATCTACATCCTGAAAATAGCAAGCAGAAAATTTTGCATGAGACATAACCGCCCCAAAACCAAAACATTTGGTAAAGGCTTCTAGAGAGAAAATTATTAGATTTAGGAGGAAGGCTATCCCCAGGTTCTGCCAACTCCTGGAAGCCAGATATAAGTGCAGTTTGAGTACTAGCAGGTGCAGCATAAGCCTGGGTTAAAGTGATCTCACTGTGCTGATTTAGTGTGCAGTACGTACTGTACTTGGATGGCTATTTTTAGAAAGACTGAAAACACACACACACACACACACACACACACGCGCCTTTACCAGGCAAGTGTGGGGGGGGGGCAAGAAGGGGATGTCTGAGGCAGAAGATTGCAGCTGAGGTGAATGTACAGGCCTTGGCTACACTGGCGATTCACAGCGCTGCACTTGCTGCGCTCAGGGGTGTGAAAAAACACCCCCCCTGAGCGCAGCGAGCGCAGCGCTGTCAAGCGCCAGTGTAATCAGCGCCTGCAGCGCTGCACGCTCGCTCGCAGCGCTGCAAGCTATTCCCCTCGGAGAGGTGGAGTACTTGCAGTGCTGCGAGAGAGCTCTCGCAGCGCTGGCGGCGCGACTACACTCGCACTTCACAGCGCTGCCTCGGCAGCACTGTGAATCCACAAGTGTAGCCAAGGCCTGTATCACAGAATAAGAGTGAAGGTTTTAAAGAAAGAATAGTCATTACATGACTCAATGCAGGAATCACTGGGTGAAATTCTATGACCTATAGTATGCCGGAGGTCAGTTTAAATGATCATAATGGTCCCTTCTGGCCTTAAAAAAAAAAAAATCTATGAATCCATATAGGAACTTTGAAATGACCAGATTCCTCAGAAACTGGATTTCTGTTGCTTCTTTATTTATTTTTTAATATACTGTCAGACACAGCACCCTCCTGGACAAAGAGGGAGATGGTAGCCATGGTCGTAATTGTTCTTTTTTCTTATTGGTAATAATCTGTTGGGGGGGGCGGTTCTTGGTGCTGAGCAGATTTTATATTTCATTCAAAGGAGAAAAGGTTAAAGAAGAGGGAAATATTTCAAATTAAAAATCAGAAATGTGGAGCTGTTCTAGAAACGAGGCACTGGGACGAACATGTGGGGAGCCCAAGCAATTTAGTGCTAGTGTTTTCCTAATAGGCTTTTTAAACTGCACTTTCCCAACCTCAGATTAAGTAGCTCTACACTCTCCTTGGCAAGGTGCACAGAGCTAATGATAGCTGCACTAATTGCGGTTTCCTTTTGCCCATTAGACATAGGGGCTCCCCTATTGTCTATTATTACTTCATAATTTTAATTGTATGAAAAGCTTGTGCACATCACAAGGAAGAAAGGACAGCAGAAAAATACGGACCCTGGACTTCAGAAAAGCAGACTTTGACTCCCTCAGGGAACTGATGGGCAGGATCCCCTGGAAGAATAACATGAAGGGGAAAGGAGTCTAGGAGAGCTGGCTGTAGTTTAAAGAATCCTTATTGAGGTTGCAGGAACAAAACCATCCCAATGTGTAGAAAGAATAGTAAATATGGCAGGCGACCAGCTTGGCTTAACAGTGAAATCCAGAGGCTGATAAAGGAGGTGCTGTTGTCATCATGAACAGGTTTGACTACCAGAAGGAGGCTGCCAGACAACTCTCCAATATCAAATTCTACAGGCCACTTTCCTCAGATCCCACTGAGGAATACACTAAGAAACTGCACCATCTACTCAGGACACTCCCTACACTAACACAGGAACAAATCAACATACACTTAGAGCCCCGACCGGGGTTATTCTATCTACTACCCAAGATCCACAAACCTGGAAATCCTGGACGCCCCATCATCTCGGGCATTGGCATTCTCACTGAAGGACTGTCTGGATATGTGGACTCCCTACTCAGGCCCTACACCACCAGCACTCCCAGCTATTTCCGTGACACCACAGATTTCCTGAGAAAACTACAATGCATTGGTGACCTCCCAGAAAACACCATCCTAGCCACCATGGATGTGGAGGCTCTCGACACAAATATCCCACACACAGATGGAATACAAGCTGTCAGGAACAGTATCCCTGATAATGACACAGCACAACTTGTTGCTGACCTCTGTGACTTTTCCTCACGCACAATTATTTCAAATTTGGTGACAATATATACCTCCAGACCAGTGGCACCGCCATGGGCACCCGCATAGCCCCACAATATGCCAACATTTTTATGGCTGACCTGGAACAACGCTTCCTCAGCTCTCGTCCACTCACGCCCCTTCTCTACCTAGGCTACATTGATGACATCTTCATCATCTGGACCCATGGAAAGGAGACCCTGGAAGAATTCCACCACGATTTCAACAGCTTCCTCCCCACCAACAACCTCAGCCTGGACCAATCTACACGGGAGGTCCACTTCCTAGACACCACAGTACAAATAAGCGATGGCCACGTTAACACCACCCTATACCGAAAACCCACCGACCGCTATGCCTACCTTCATGCCTCCAGCTTCCACCCCGGACACACCACATGATCCATCGTTTACAGCCAAGCACTGAGGTACAACCGCATCTGCTCCAACCCCTCAGACAGAGACCAACACCTACAAGATCTTCATCAAGCATTCTCAAAACTACGATACCCACACAAGGAAATAAAGAAACAAATCAACAGAGCCAGACGTGTACCCAGAACCCACCTGCTACAAGACAGGCCCAAAAAAGAAACCAACAGAACTCCACTGGCCATCACCTACAGTCCTCAGCTTAAACCTCTCCAACGCATCATCGGTGATCTACAACCCATCCTGGACAATGATCCCTCACTTTCACGGACCTTGGGAGGCAGGCCAGTCCTCGCCCACAGACAACCCACCAACCTTAAGCATATTCTCACCAGCAATCATGCACCGCACCATAACAACTCTAACTCAGGAACCAATCCATGCAGCAAACCTCGATGCCAACTCTGCCCACGTATCTACACCAGC